TTGTAATGTGACAAAATATGGAAAAGTTCAAGGGGTATGAATACTTTTGCAAACCACTGTATACAATTTTTTTCTTTTTGATTTTTTACCTGGATTACTGAGATGCATCAGGACATTGGTGAATGCCACAAATTCTCCTAAATCACTCGTACGCACAACTTAAGAACAAATCTGTGCATACGAACTGTTCTTGCATGAGGCCCATTGTGTGACATGCAGTTTGTGTCAGATATTCGTAGACTCTTGTGGGCTGGAAATAACCGTCTCAAGTATAAATAAAAAAAATTTAAATAGGAAAGAGTAATTTGCTGCCTCAACAGTTTAATTCATCCATTGTTCAACTGAAAAGCAAACTGTCAGAAAGATCAATAAAAGCTTTTGCTATTTTAAATTCAGAATATAAAATCTTATAATTCTGAAGTGTTTCAACAGGTAGAGCCAGAGTGTTAACTAATAAAACTCAAAGTTATTACTTCATGGGATTAATTAAGAAAAACATATTTTATGCAGATGATTTTTACCAAGAAGCAGTTGTTTTTAAATGTGCTTCATAAAGAAACTTATCGCAAATACTGGGCAAAACAAAGAAAAGAGAGATTTGCTGGACATGCTTAGTGAATCTGCTAAAGAGTGTTTATATTTTTTTTCTAAAGATACCTCTGGTCCATCTCTTTTTGAATGTCTTTATTCAGTTCATCAATCTTGCCCTGCAGCTTCTTTCTCCTCTGCTCTGGAGGCAGGTGGCTGAAGTCCTCTGGTCCAGAACCCTAGCATCACAAATTGAAAAGAAGAAGTGGAAAAAAGAAAAAGAGACACATAATATCTGTGAGAAAACACAATAATCCAACATACCTGTGCTGCTGCTTCCAAGTGGCTTATTTTTTTTCTAAATATACAGTATCTCCAAGTGAACTAAACATTTATTATATTATATTATTACAATTTAAACCAAACGGGTCAAACAAATAAACTTTTTAAGTTTCACGTTCCTGTCGCGGCTGCTCTTTAACGCGCAGCTCTAAGACGTTTGCAGGAGTGAATACTTTCACCTGATAAGTCAGAACACTGTGAAAGCATCAGAAATGCAATAAAGCACGTGTGTTTTCTTTGTTCACTCAGATAGTGTGTCAGTGTGAGTGGCCTAATGGGTTTCAGGTCCATTATTCGACTCACTCCTCTGAAACTGGACGTTATCAGAGACCGTTTCCAGTCTGAGCTGGGCTGAATGAGTCAGCGTGTCTCAGACTTTCTGTAAAACTCACTCTGAGGCTGCATTTTTCATGTGTGAACAGGTAAATCTAATAAAAATACAAAACTAAATCATTCTGCAGGCATTTCTTCAGGTTGTATTTTTTTAATTTAAATTTAATTTTCTAAAACTTTTTTCATGCTAGCTTAACATTCCAATGTGTTGCAGAAGTATTCACCCCTTTTGTTGCCTTACTACCTAAAATCTGGTTAATTTTCCAAGTAATTACAAGCAATGAAGCTCCACTAAGTACTCCAGATTACTGAAGGTGAATGGAAGAAAAGGTTTTAATAGTGGTGCGTGCAAATGTATTCATCCGCTTTGCTTTGAAGTCCCAACCTCACCTGCAGAAGGTGTAATTAGTTCAATAAGATCCACCTGTGGGCAACCAAAGTGCACCTGTTCTGATGGTCCCGTCAACACTGGTTTAATTAGTGTCTTGTTTTTCTTGTCCCTCTTCCATGAAGACCAGTTTACAGTGTCTGTTTGGACAGTTTCTCACATCCCTGTAGGACGCACAGCTCCATCAGAGTTATTCTTGGTGTCTGGTTGTTCCACAGATTATTGCCCTTCTTATTGAGTGAGCTTTGGTGCACGGCCATCTTGTTTGATGTGGTGCAATAATCTGCTCATTCCTAATACTGGATTTATTAAAGGGATCCACGATTAGTTGTAACATTAGACTTTATTTAATAAACATATATTTTAACTGTAAAATAAAGACTGTAAAAATACTGTAGGCTGTTTAGTTTTTATAATGTTTAAAATAGATATTTTAACACGGACGGGGCCATTTTATTTACATACAAAGGTCCTCGGTGCGAGGCTGCTAGCGAGCTATATCCACCCTGAAGGTTAATCTTGGACAATATCTGATG